TTCTAAAATTTCTAACATATATACTAGTATAGTTCATGAAATTTAGTTAACTTTGAAATAGATAATACAATGTAATATCTGAGTAAATGTTAATAAAAACCAACTGGAAGCTGAGCTAGCTTAAAAAAAAAAAAATTATAGTTTGTATTATTTATAATTTATAAATATAACTTTAATTCAAAAAAATTTATATATAAGTTTATCAATTTTTTTATTTTATGCTAATAAATAGTTATCAAATTTTTAATAAATGGTTAATAAACTTTTAATAAATAGTTTTGATAAATAGTTGTCAAATTTTTAATGAATAGTTAACAAATTTTAAATAAATAGTTGATGAATTTTTACTAAATAGTTTTGATGAATAGTTGTTGAATTATTAATAAACTATTAATGAATTTTTAACAAATTATTAATAAATTAATATGAATTCTAATAAATAATTTTATAATAAACTTTTAATGATTTTTTGCTAAATAGTTAATAAATTATTTGATGGATTGTTGATGAATTTTTTGATAAATTGTTAATATATCAATTTTTGTAATATTTATAGCCAAATTATAAAGTTATTAATTTATTTATACTATTTTTTGTCAAAATATTTATTTTTTACTTTGTTATATAAGTGATAGTACAGTATATCCAATAATTTTTTTAAACTAGTACTAAGTGATAAAGTAAAATACTAAATAATTCTATAAGACAATTAATTAAGCAAACAAACAATAAAACTATAGTATAGACTTGTGGGTCAATAGTGCAGTTATAGTTTTTCAGGTTATATTCACAAGATCTATAGTTCAATAACACTTAAGAATCAAAAATTGAAATTACTTTCTGATTAGATTTACTGGTTATCCTGTAAAAGTTATACTTAATTATTCAAAATAAGATTAAATTAGATTAAGTTATATAAAATAGAATTTCTGATCTTTTATTGATTAATGGTTGAGATTTATAGTCATATTTTTAGAAAGATTGCATGAATAAAGGTTTCTGGTCTAATCTTTCACAAATATCTCAGGATCCCTTATCTTAGCAGTCTTCAGAATCTCTACTCTCCTAGCTTTGAATATTGCAATCTGATACTTCACTTAATTGAAAATTAATTAATAGAAACTGATCTGAGTCCATAGGTAGTGATAAAGAAGACAATGTGCTCCTTTGAGATCTGAACAAATAATATTTAAGAATATTGAAAGATATTATATATCTTATTAGGTATATACATAAAAGAACTAACTTAGTGAAATAATAATTATAATTTGTAAAAGGCTTTATATTATCTAGTATAGTTTTGCTATTGATGACTGAGTATTAACTATCCAGTTTCTAGTTAGGTCTATCAACTTTAAGAGTAGTAGTAGGTCTAGTTAGAATAAACTGTGATAGGTTATCATTAATCTATATATATAGTATATAGAAATATATAATTTGTATATGATGATTGATATAATACTAGTGGATATTATTGTTTAAATAAAAGTTCACATCTAATGTCAATTGTGGTTTAAAATTAAAAAAAATAAAATAAAACTATAGTATATTAATAGATAACATAAAATAGAATTGATAAGAAATGAAGCCATCAAATTAAAGAGTAATAAGATTATATATAGAATCTAGTATAAAAAAAAATAAATAGATATACATGAGATATATTTTTTAAAGACTTACAAAAAAAAAAAGTTTTCATATTAAATTGATAAATAATAAGTTATTAATATTAAGTAAGTTAACAATTAAAAGGTTAGATCTATAATATATAAATAAGTAAAATATATTGTATGTGACTTTTACAAAAAAAAAACAATTAACCATTTGTTAAAATATCTAGCTTACAAGTAACAAATAAAAGAAATATAGAACAAGTCTTGAAGAAATTTTTAAAAACTTTATAGAGAACTTTTAAAAGAAAGAAAAAAGAAAACTACAAAGAAAAATATAAAACTAATAATAAATAATATAAAAGAAATGAAAAAAGTTAACAAGTGAGTATTAAGACTAATAAAACAAACTTTAATAATAAGTCAAGATATATTAAATTTTTATGTAGAACTAATAAAAAGTAAATCTACATTATTTTTAAGCTGATAGATCTAAAATGTTATGATAAAAGAGTTGAAAAAAAAGTAAGAAGATGGATAAAAAAAATACAAAGTATAATATATAATCAATTTCACAAAAAAGTTTGAAATATAAGATATAAAAAGATAATAGAATAAAATAGAATATAAGGAATCTAGAGAAATAATAAGATAAAAAAATCTTTTGGTTATTAAAATCATAAAACTATATTATTAAAAAGAAGAATTCTATTATTAGAAAAAGAAAAACTAGAAGATTAAAGCTTAAAAGATATTTTATCAAAAAGAGTTAAATTTGAAATAAAATGTTTAGATTTTAAATTCTGTCAGAACTTGAAAAAATAGTGACTTGTAAGCAATGATATTAGGAATTGAAAGAATTTTTACTTGAACTCTTAATAAAATAACAAATTATTTTCAAAGTTGTATTTAAAGTAATAATTATAAAGATAAATAAGCTAATTAAAGTTTTTAACTTTAATAATTCATATTATAATGTATAGTTTATAATTATTTAATAAAACACATAAGCAAACTTGATAGAAAAATAAAAAAAAATCTAATAATATTATTTAACTTTAGATCTTTTAATTGAAGTAAATAAATTTTTTCAAAAAATAAAAACTTCTATCATGTATTTAAAAATAATTTGAAATCAAAAAAATAATTTTTCTAAATATTTAACTTAAAGAACAAAAGAAAAATAAACTAAAAAAGTAATTTTTTATTTAAAAAAAGAATTTGCATAAGTAAAAAAACAATTACTTCGATTATCGGAACGAGGATCACCTGTTCTGTGATCTGATTTGGTCACGGGATTTTCAATAGATGATTCCAAGTCCTCTCTGTAAAGGTGACTTGACTCATGACCAACCTCAATCTTTTACCCACGCCAGTATTACCTAATACAGTATTATTCGTAATAACAAAAAAAATAATTTTTTTTTCGTGTCGTAAGATTTGTACATAAGAAAATTTTTTTGATATCCGTGCCCGTGTCTCGACATACCTGGCGACTTTCCATATATGTACAAATTTTTTTCGGAAACGGGAATCAGCAGTTAAGAACACTTCTCAAATGATAGATAACCAAAATAGTCTGCATTATCGACATGGTAACCTGATAAATTTTCGCCGGTGAACAACCCTTTACATCATCCGGCCCAAGCACGCCACTGATCAAAAAGAAGCATAGTGGAAAAATTTAAAACTACCATTTCATATTTTGAAAACATTATAAATACACCCTCACTTTCGATCTTAATTTTTTGACTTCGTTCTTTGGTCCAAAAAAAAAAAAAAAAATTATATATGTGTATATGTATGTATATATATATACAGTATATCGTATAATAATGTATAATATATAAATATATACACACATTTCCACTCAAATCCATCATTTATTCATTCCCCGGTTCGTTCTGCTCTCGGTCACTCTTCGTGGATTGTCGATTAAGGGTTTTGGCTCAAATCTTTCGGAACGTATAGTTCTTGATGAAAACCTTTCGACGGGTGGAAATTTAAACTTGGCTTATGCTCTTTGGTATTTCCTTTGGCAAAGAACCTTGTGTTACCCTTTGACACGGCCAACTTGACAAATTTATTCAACAAATTATATCAATAGCTTTTTACACGTTTTTCGACAATCAGTATTTCACCTTATCTTCGGTCTTGATAAGCTTCAACTATATAATTGATTAGAATAAATTGTAGTTTTTCTTTAGTTTAAAATCGAAAGATAAAACACAATTTTTCGATATCATTATTTTGATTAATGCAAGGCGAAGTGTAGGGTTCTGATTGTTTGAATGAATTTCAAAAAATGACCATGATAAGCAAACAATTCTTCGAAAAAAAGTTTATTTTGTCCAATTTTGACGCGATATAAATTTGTACCGGGTTGGAATAGTGTTTAAAAGTTGTTTAAACACAGGCTTTTTTCGATAAAATTTTTGGGGTTTCTTTTTTTTTTTAAAAAATTATTTTCTTTCGTTTTTCTTTTTTTTTTTATTTTATTTTATTTTATTTTATTATTTTTTTTTTCGTTTTTCATTTTCTTTATATATATCAAGAAAATAGATAGATATAAATAAATAAATTTATTTATTTATTTATACTTATACTAAAAAACCAAAAAAAAAAAATTGTAAAAAAAAAAATCATTTATTTTAGCATATATTAGCATAATAAAGTTTTGGGGAATGAATTGATTAAAAGATACGTATTAATGAGATTTCGTGATTTGTGATATATTAAAAAAAGTAGTTGCATATTACAATAGAAAAAACATTGCTCATAAATTTTCTAACAAAAAAAATTAATTTTCATCTAATTATATATCTAGACATTATAAATTAGAAAGTCACGATAAAAAATATTATAAATTAGAAAGTCACAATAAAAAATATTATAAATTAGAAAGTCACAATAAAAAATATTAATATTAATTAGAAAATTACGATTAATTTAAAATAATAAATTATTTAGTTAAATATTTTTATTGTTACGAACTATTGTTGGCATATTGAAATATTAAAGATATTTTTTTCGACTGAATAGAAGATATAGATATAACTTGACGATAATTATATTCCTTGTATTATACATAATTCTTTAAATTTAACGCTTATTTTTTTTCTGTTCTATTTCATATTACGAGAATATGTTAAATATATAATTTTTATCCTGATCGAAAGACGAAAAATCACCAGGTCCACGGTCCATGTCGCTTAATTCATCCGGCATATGCGGATATGCTTTCTATTATCTTAATAAATAGAATCGCATTGGCTTAAATTCATAATTACGGTTGGCGTATGCGTTCGTTCTATGCAACTAGTATCCAATTTAACTAAGGGAACCAGAAAGGATAAACAGATCTTTCCGCTTCCAACTTTCTCTGATTCATTATATTTTTCTGCTTTCTTTCTCTGTACTCCCAGCTTCCTCCAATTCATCCGTATCTTCCTCATCTATTCTATCCAATTCGAAATAATCCGGATCTTCTCTCTTTCCAAAAGTCGTATATTCTGAACCTTCGGTTGTTGAAGACATGGGAGAAGTCGGGTATTCGGGGAGAACAAAATTCGTTAAATCGGGATAAGCCCTGTTTATCATATCTTCAATCTCATCCTCTTCCTTGGGACTCAACAGCGAAGATTCCTCTTCGTCCTGCATTTCTGGCGTTATTGACTTTTCTCGCTTTTCAAAGCCTCTTATGAGGGAGGCGTCATCTTGGGCGCTAATTTCGCCCTCTATCACCCGATAGATGTCAACTACATTTTCCATTTGATCCAGTAAAAGAGATACCTTGCCTTCATTTTCCATTACCTTTCGCTCTAGCTCACTTTTATTTTTTGTCAATATCCTGTTTTTAACTTGAAAATCGACAACCTGATCTTTCAATATTTTCCTTTCTTCCTCCCACTCCCCTGTTTCTGATGATTGATCATTGCCATCTTGTTCATTAGAACTCGATTCCAAAACCTCTTGCGGCTCCATCGGAGATTCTTGTTTACTCAAAAGTATAGTTCTCTCTAATTCTTGTTCAACCTCTTCACTCATCTTTTCCGATTCCAACGTTTTCTGTTTGAAAATTTCATTGGATTTTCGGAGCGTGTCGTTTTTATTTCTCAGCGACTCGTAAACTCTCCTTAATGCTTCGTAACCCTGATCCATCAAGCTTTTCTCATCCTGGGCATTGCTGATTTTTGTCTGCAGGTCTACTATCCTTTGTTGCAATTGTTCTCTTTCCTGGAAAAATATAACCTTTTGCTCTAACAACTGTTGATTCGTGTATTCCTGTAATATGGAATTCCTAATATTGTCGTGCTTGTCGATTGACTTTTGTAATTCATAGAGTTTTTCCTCCAACTCTACATTACTTGTTTCCACAGTGACCAATTTTCGGTTTAAATTATCTATATCCTTCTTACTCTGTGTTAACTCGTCTTTCACCTTCTGCAATAATTTTTCCGTATTCTGTGCATACTTGACGGCCGTCTGGTAATCAGATTCTACTTGACTTAATTTCTGCTTGAGTTGCTTGAGCTGAAGTTGAGTTCTCTCTGCTTTGGTTTCCGCCACTCTTAGCTCGTGTCCTAATTCTACAGAACTTGAAGATGATGGAGTTTTAACCCTGTACTCGCTACTACTACCAATGTCCGAAGATTCTTTGTTCACTATTTCTTCATTCTCTTCAATTGCCTCCGCTTTTTTCAAAGTTTCTCGGTATTTCGATATGGAGGTTTTGAGCTCCCTTTGTGCAATTTCATGAAGTTCCTCTAATTCGTCACACCGTTCTGCGATCTCTTTGAATTTGATTGCCAGGGGATTCTGACCACTCGATTTAAAATCACTTCGGGATATGACCCGTCTCATCATTCCAACACCGGCTTCAGCGTTCTCCACGACTCTCTTCGATTTCTCAATTTGGCTTTTCTTTTGACTCAACTGGGCTCGGATATTTTGAACTTTGTCCGATGATAGTCTTTCGGACTCCAGCTGATTGTATAAAGTGGTGAACTTCGATTTTAAAACTGCCACTTCTTCTAACGCTGCTTTATACATTTTCTCAAATTCGGAAATCTTTTGTGATGCCGATTTAGATTGACTCACTATGGTTTCCTATCCATCAGGATCACGTAAGAAAAAAAAAAAAAAAAGGTAAAAAAAAAAAAAAGTAAAAATAAAATTAAAAAAGCTCGTTGCTTTCATTCAAAAGAAAAAATTTCATTCACTCAACATTAATTTATCCAAAAATTACTTTTGCTTGCTTCAACTGTTGACTTAATTGAACGATCGCTTCAATGACTTTAAATTTTTCAGATCCCGCCTCTCCTATATCCATTAAATTTTCTACATCGATTCCTTCAGGTATGTCTGCATCATCTTCGCCTTCAAATTCCAAGAGAAACCCTGCCCGCTTAGCCAAAGCTAGTTTAGCCTTAAACCAAGTTTCCCTTTTTTTCATCTCGGCAATCTTAAGATCTTGTTCTTGTAATCTTTCCATGTAAGATTCCCGTTCGTGATTCAGTAACGCACCGGAATAACTTTCGCGGTCATCTGAACGCGATGAGTGTGCGCCACCGCCATTCCGGAGCATCATCGAACTTCGGTCGGGAATATTCTTATCAACGTTCAAAGGAGAGGCTGATGACTCGACGTTGAAGTCATCCTGACTCGATAACGAAATGTCATCGATGAATGAAGTCATTCGAATTGATCTGGGACGGGGAACTCGGGAATCTCTTGGATCCCTTGATTCCTCATTTGGAGCGTGTATCAATCTTTGGTCAACGATCTGACTCCTGCGACGATTATTACCAATATTCTCCGAGTTGCTACCTTGCTTTCGGTTATCATTTTCCCCGTCATTGCCTTGCTTCTGAATATCATTCTTCACACCTTTGAAAATGTCGCCATCACCTTTCCCGTCTTCGGGAACACGAATTTTCGCGTTACCATGACTGGGGCTTTGTCTTATACTTCTCCTTGTTTCATCGAGGCTGTTGCTCCGCTCCCTACCAATGCTTCCTTCATCTCCCTTAGTTCGTTGAAGTTCTGACTCTTCCACGTGGTTCTCATCGTATGAATTCTCCACATTCGGTTCCTTTCTATGCTCTAAAACTTCGGGTTGAAAACTTGACTGTTTGCCCGTTTCAAGCATCAGGTTGGACGATTCCATCACCCCCCTATCTACAGTCTTTCCTTTATCAACCGAAGGTGTAATAACGTTCGTCCCCAACAGAGGATTCTTTAACTGCCTTTTCGGACCACCTGGTCGAACCCTCAGTATTTTAGGTTTCGTTGTTTGAGCAGGAGCCGTTATATCCGGGCTTTTGTTAGCGATCGGTGTCACACTAAAACTCGAAAATTTATGTATTGGGTAGTCATCAAGCGTCCTCGGTTTCCGTGAAAAGTTTTGCAGTCTGTTTATGAGTGAGGAGGTGGGAATAAGGTCTTCGACCGTATTTCCTTTAGAAACGGAAATCTGTAGATTGGTCAGTGAAGCCTGCGGTTTTGCGAACAATGGATTTTGACGAACAGCCCTGGTTGGCGTCGGTTGTGGAGAAAGAGATATCGGAGGTTCGGAGAGAGACCTCTTATGATACCTTTGTCGTGGCATCTCTCCCGGAAATGTGCTGGTGGGGTACTTTATCCTTGCTAAAGAAATATTGATTATACGATTTAAATTTGTGCTAACGAAACTTAATGAATACACCTGGATCAGATTTTTCCTAAAACGACAATACTGACCAGTATCCAATATGTGTATGGTTCCTTCGCCGTTGGGTTTCGCCGTTTGTGATGAATCACCACCAAATACCAGGATCTTTTTTTGCAACAAAGTCATTGAATGACAGTACCGAGGGCATGGTGATGGGCCCATCTTCTGAAACATGAACCATCTCTTTTCTTATTAAAAGAAGAAAAAAAACCCCCCCCAAAACAAGCATCAATGATTTAAATCTCAAAGCCCTCAACTGACACGCAAATATTTTGATTCGTGTACTAACGATTTATATTGAAGGCCGCCAAATCCGCCAAATCTTTCCCTTCGATCGTTCGCCCGCCAAATATGTAAATCACATCGTCAACAAGGGACGCGCAGTGACTTTCACGCGGAAGCGGGGTAGCACCGCCGCACAAGATCTCAGACCAGTAATTTTTATGTGTGTCATAGCACCATAGATCGTTATAGCATTTCACGCCATCGGTTCCCCCAAAACTGATCGTGAATGTATGTTCGATAAAGACAAGTAGAATTGATGCGAGATGGTGAGCGATTGCGGATAAACGATAATTTGATGTCAAAAAAAAAAAATTTAAAATTAAAATTAAAAATCAAGGGACACGCACATGTAAATTTTTTCCTTATATACGCATGCGGAATGTCCGGATCTAGGGATCGGAAGTACATTTAACGGAACCAGGAATTTCCAACAAGGTTTTTCGGACCTTGCTTTAGTCAGATACAAGAGATGTTGCTTATGTCAGTGTTGTTTTTCCGTTATCAGGTGGCAAGAAAGCATGATCGATGAGTTTAAGAGAATAGATATATATAAACTAGATCATAAACTTACATGCCATTACATCAAACACGAACAAATCATTGAAAAAGATTCCTCGCTCATTCCGACCGCCGAATACGTACATCACCGCTCCAATTAATGTCGCCGAATGTCCGTGACGTCCAAGAGAGATTTTATCGGAAATTGAAATCCTTGACCAATATTTCATGACTGAAAAAGATCAATGAATTATTTAATCATTAATTAAACTTATCAAATTTATTATCATGATCATTTGGAAAAAAGTCGATCCGCGTAGGATCTTCCTTACCTGTGTCGAGGATGTAAATGGAATCGTCGGATTCCTTTGGGTTTTCCAATATTCCACCAAATACTAAGTTCATTGCATTCAAAGAAATTCACTATTAGTGATACAATGAATCACGAGTAAAAAACCCAATTCACACTTGTTAACTATTTACTTTTCCGGATGGATGATGAAGAAGTATTTAATGAAGGTGCTTACTGATCATGTCGTTTGCGACATTAACTTGCGTGTGTCCTCTTCTTGCAGGTGGAACATCGCCCGTTGTTTTTATTCGGCACACATTCAGCGTGTCTTTGTTAATTAATTATCAAAACATCGAATTATATCGTATGTTAAATTTGGATTAATCTAATAGTTAACCTATAATTCGTTCATTCATTCATTCATAAACTCGAACTCACTCGTTTCTATCACACAAACATCGTTCTGAACTTTTCCACCAACCACACCACCAAAGAGAACTATTTGATCATTGATTGCACACTCATTCGACGAGTGACCATGACGGGGAAAGGGATTCTGCTTCCCAAGTTTCACCAGAGACCACGGAAATATTGGTCCGGTCGAGTTCAACCTTGGCATTTTTGAATTTACGGTTTGAGAATGCAACGACGAGTTATCGTTGAAGCTTTCGTTGTCGAAGCTTGCTGAAGAACTTTCCATGTGGCTCATCGACGACATTATTTTACAAAATCGGAAATCAAAGGATGCAAGCAACGAAGGAAATTCGGTGATTAACGTTTTTTTAAGATGGAGAGTTTGAAAATTAAAAACGGTCACTAGCTTTATCTACTGTACGAATATTTTTATTGTATAATGTTCAGAATGCATGTCCTTTGCATAAATCTATTTATGAGCCTGTATATGTTTCAAGTATAATGCCATCTATGGCTTAGTGGTGGTGGTGCTTGAACTTCCTATCGGCTTGCGTACGCACATATGCACTGTACGTACTGTACCTTTAAAAAAACATACATCCACCACAAAAAAAAAAAAAATTTTTTTTACTGTATGCGGTTCATTGTACGCACGTACGCATTACGTATTTATTGTTTCTCAATTGGTTCCAAGTATGCGAGATTGTGTTGATCTCGAGTTAACCAAATTACAGTAACGTCACTTGGTCGACGAATGAAACAATATCCTTCGTTTTGAATCCGTGTACACAAAAAACAATGAGTAGAATTAGAATTCCAATGACCATATTTGTAATGGCATTGTGAATTCATGACTCATAAAATCTGCGCCGAGGCAGGAATTGTTTCGAGATGACTATTTCAAGCTCGGACCCGGAATTCAATCAGCCAATTAAAATTATTTATTAATTTATTAAGAAACATGGAAATTAAGATTATTTATTACACGATGCAAGCTTTTTCGAGAACGTTAAGTTCCGCGTCATCGTATTTTTTTTTTTTTTTTTTTTTTTTTTTTAATACTGTATATGCGCTCACATTCAATGCTACTCCGCTTTCGTAATTGATCCCTTAATTAACTAACTACGATATTTTCTCAACCGTACGACCACATAGAACGCCAGTCTGAAGATAATGCTCAGTCCTAATAGTGCGAGCTATGAAGTGGGAGAAGAGAGGGTAATTAGTAAAATTCTATCCACCCGAGAATGCGAGAACTTTTTTAATAAGCACTCACCGCCCATTTCCAAAGCACGATCTCCGTGTATCCATAAGAAGTTAGAACATCTGTTCCCGTAAATTGGCAACTCGATTCGTACTGACTTGGAAAGTCGCATCTGCAGGTCTGGGTACCATTCACGTTCTCTCGAGCACAATCGAACGTCAACCCTGTGAAGTCATTGTAAATTATCCCTTCGAACGCATATTTTTGATAATCAATGTAATGAGCCCATTTCCACAATTTGGGTATTAAATCGCGTCTCACGAAAAATCCTTGGACCACCATGAAGAAACCGTTGGCAAATGCCGCAATCGCCAATGCAGCGACAAATATTGGTATGCATGCGGAGATAAATACCACCATCGATTCGGCTACATACAACGCTAAAAACAAGAACGACACAAATTTCGCGGCGTGAGTAAATCCGGCATGTAAGCCAATCATTGGGTAGGCGATTAATGAGAACGAGAGGGCTATTATCATCACGAATGGTATCGATATCAAGGTATTTGCCAATACGTATGGACCAACAGAGTAAAATCCGTTCGCGCGTTCACGTTGGAATACCAGACGCTCCTCGAGAAATCCGGGAATTCCGGCGACGCTCATGAACACAAGAAACGCGACGGAGAAGAAATGCGCCGAGAATCGATCTTGAACACTCTTCTGCTCGTAACCGACCTGCCACCACGTGGAACCCATCAAGATGGCCAACGCGACATACATTGCCACGCGTATCCAAAACATCAAGACATTCCTATATGCATTCTTCAGCGAACGATTCATGATTATGAAGGTCTGAGCAAAGAAATTACGGGCATAACGATTAGATGTCTCCGAGCTGATGACCGCCAGTGATTCGTCACTTAGACATTCTTCGGTGATCTTTTTAATCTGATGGTCGATTTCGGTTTTGTACTCGGATGCTTTGAACGCTTCGTTGAAACTTTTGATGAGCTTTTCGGCTTCCGACAGGTCACTCATGAAATCCGAGTTTACCAGCGTCAAGAAATGATCGGCGGGATTCGAATATGGTGGACACGCGTAACCCAGGCTTTCAAAATATTCCAGTGCCTCCTCGCGTTCACCAAAATAGAGGGTCTTTCCACGACCAAGAAGAAGTAGTTTATCAAATAACGAATATGTTTCGGTGGACGGTTGGTGGATACTGGCGATGACGGTAAGTCCGTGACTCTGCGCCATGTCTTTGATGGCTTTCATTACATTATACGCGGCGGCCGAATCCAGACCAGTAGTGGGTTCGTCAAGAAAGATTATCCAGGGCAAGGTGATTATTTGCGAGGCGACGGCACATCTACGTTTCTCACCGCCTGACACCCCACGGACGAAAACGGTGCCAATTTTTGAATCGGCCACACGTTCAAGACCAAACTCTTCCATTATTTCTTGGACACGGGTCTCTTTTTCAGTTCGAGTATAATCCCCCGGGAAACTGGGAAGTTTAAATATATGTACTTAGAAGAGAGCGCGTGACACTGTTGTGCTAAATTCGATGAACGACTTGAAAATTACCATAAGTCAGCGGCCTAAAAAAAAAAAAAAGATTTCTTTTTTTTTAGCAACGAAGAGAAAAGGAACTAATCTGCTTGAAGAGTGCGTTCTGAAGTTGAACTTACAAATTGTATGTTTTCGCGTACAGACAACACGCCTACGATTGCCCCCCAAAATAAGTTGGTTAATCAATCCGATAGTCACAAAACGAAAAAAGAACAAACGGAACACCCTCGTTACCCATCAGTGCGTCATCCTGCATCACATAGGTGGACACATATTTAATTTCACCAGGTCGACCATTAAGAAGGATTTCACCCGTCACCGACCTTGGGTCTTTGCGCCCGGCCAATAAATCCAAGAAACTTGACTTTCCAGCTCCTGAGGGTCCCATGACTGACCGGAAGTGAAGAAAAGAATTGGTTAAAAAAAAAAAAAATTACCGAGAAGAAAAGTTCAATGTCCTATGAAGTGACAAGATAAATGCTCCTTCCACACACTTGTTTCCATCAAAAACACTTACTAGCCATAATCTCACCCGGTTCTACATATCCGCTAATATTTTCAAGTATATTTTTTCTTTTGTTGGTTTTGGGGTCAATTATTGAGTAACCGACATCTTTCCAGGTAAGACTAACTCCCTTGAAGTAGGACGTGGGTGCTTCCGATGTTTCTGGATGAAATCGGACGACGACAAATTATCGTTAGTTAAAAGTTCGTTGTTTCATCGTTGACTTTTTATTGCGCAATTACCATATTCATCTTTGACTGAGATAGTATATTGGGACACCGACATCCTTAACTTGCTATCGGGAATTAAGTCTTATTTGGATTTTTATTAAATTAGAACTTCACGCACAACACTCGAGAAAGCCCTCTTGACGAGTCCGCATCGAAAAGCGCTTTCATTTATATATAATCTTCAGCCAACCGGCTCACATTATTTTTAGTTTTAAGATATAAAGAATTCTGAATGTATGCGTGCAAATTCACATGATAATGGTCTATATAGTATTGATAAATCTTCGTGTATGGTTCGTGACTCTTCGGGAATGACGTATACGGTGAAAACTACCAATAATCATATATGAACTTATTCGAACCTTTTAAAGTTTAGCAAACTCTTGAGCCATCTGATTTTAATTAAAAAAGTTCGGATGGACTGAATCAGTAAAACAGGTCAAATTATTAATCAACTAATTCTCTTATCAACGAAGAAAATCCATTGAACACATGGTAACCTATAGCTACGTGGATTAACTTAATTAAGACAATTCGAATTAAAAGCTGAATCGGTGCTGGTACAACGCACGCGAAAACTTGCCCAGGCATTTGGATATTTGGTCGGACGACAGGCTGTGAATGTTAGAAGAACATGCTGTATGCAATCATTCTGCTGAATTAAACAAAAATATGAATGCGCGTATTCTTTCAGATCCTGAGGAACCATCATCGCTCGGCGATTGGTAATAACAATTATCCGGAAAAACCATTATGAAATAACTTTAAGGTTCATTTTATACATTGTTTATTATTTTTTTTAAAAAAAGAGATACCACCTTTCGGCACAAATTAAAAATTTTCCTTTTTTTTAGAAAAAAAAAAAAAATCTTAATTATGATATTTTAGAGAATTTCCTTTGGAATTGTCGACAGCGTTGTTTGTTAAATTACAATCTAATTTACTTATCTTAAATAAATATCCAATCGGATTAAAATCAAGGCCTCATATAATTAAAATATGTATGCGCATATACTCTATATTGTATTTTATTATCTTTAAAATTACCCTTTTGACGCATAGTCAGTCTTGAAGAATTCTTGGATTTTTTCCATTTTCAAATATTGATTTGATTCCTTTTAAATTTAAACCTATAATTATATCAGCATAGATTATTACTTGATACCATTTGTCTATAAATTATTTAATTCTTTAAATGCAATTCTAAGAACGATGTTTTACGTTTTTCACAAATTTAATTTACGAAATTATTATTGCCCATTTATTATTATTGATTTTCAAAATATCAACTATTTGAATCATTACTGTTTTTTTCTTTCTTTCTTTTTAACTCGCAATTAGTTTAAATCCAAATAAATGTTGATTAAACGGATTTTCTGTAAGGTTATCCAATAAAGATTGAAAATTCTATATATAGTAGTTATACTATTGGAATAATTTTTTTGATTTAATTTTTATTTATTATTTTATTGTATCTTATTAGATAATAAGGTTTAATTTATTAAGTTGAATTATATAAAAATTAAAAATACTATGTTTCTTTTAAATTTAAAAATTAAATAATATGGCTAGTTTCATATATTTTTTAATGACTCTCCGATCACACATAAAAAAAGATGGTTGCAAGAAGTTTAATGCTTCTAAGCTAACATAACTTTTATTTTTTTCATTTTTTTTTTTTGAGTATCCATAGCCAGGCTAGATCGTTAGTTTATTAATCAATTGAAAACAAAAGTACATTTTCATTTGAGCAGCATGATACATACTACAGTTAAACTATTATTCTAATCTAACTAACTTGTCATAAGCATAAAAGCCTCTAAGTTTGGCCTTGGGGACAATATTTCGCTCCACAGT